TCTGTCGCAGCACAGAGCTCCACATACATCTGCTCCCCAGGCAGGTCTGCAGCGTGCCCTCATCTTGCACTATGAGCAGATCACGCTGGAGACATCTCTCCCACGCCACAGCACAGAGGTCATGGTCAAAGACACCTCCCAGAAGCTCATCAGCATCACCCTCCTCTTCCTTCATTCTCCAAACTGGCAGGGGGAAAGGTCCAGAGACAGGCACCATGCCACGGTGGAGGAAGGCGCACAGAGTCTCCTGGTATGTGCAGAACGGACTGATCCTTCTTCCCTGCTTCTCTAAGCTTCTTCTCCTCACTGGCTGTGTGTGTAACTTTGAAGAAATCATATCCCTGCTTCGACCCAGCCTAGAGGTAAGCCACGCTGGAGCAGGTGTCCTGGTACAGACCTGGAACAGGCTCCTGAAGGGGTAGTGCAGTCTCCATCCTTGGAGGTTTTTAAGACAAAGCCTTGCCTGGGATGATGTAGTTGGGGCTGGTCCTGCTTGGAGCAGGGGGTTGGACTGGATGTGACCTCCTGAGGTCCCTTCACACCCTCATTGATTCAGTGAGCAGCCCTGAGATCGTGTCCCCAGGGTCCGAGCACACTCAGGTGCACATCTGGGCTGTCTGTCTGGGGTGAACCCTCTGGCACAACACCCAGGCACACGACCCAAAACATCAAAAACCCCATCTAACCTGGCCCAGGTCAAGCCAGGACAGGAGAGAGGTTGTTAAATACACTTGACTCGAGAGACCCAGCAGATCTCTTAACAACGGCAGGCTTGTAATTGCCCAATGGGGAAACTGAGGCACAGAGGGGGAAAGCGACTGGCTCTGAGCTATGGGGAGGGTAAGACTGCAAACTCACGCGGTCTGGTAGCAGAGATCCCCTTCCTCGCGGGTATCCCTGGGACCATCACGGCTAGCGCATCCCTGCAACACTACGAACTCACGGGGTCTGTTTCGACCTCTTGCGGCAGGCACGGGGCTCCCTGGGCCTGAGCCAAGGTGCAGCGCAGGAGCCCAGAGCCTGCTACATCCCCGATCCTCTCTCCATGATGGCATCGCTTGACAAGCACTTGATGGGGTTGCCATAGGAACCCTGAGCTTGGATGCATCTGAATCCGGTACACATGTCATTCCAGGGACGAAAAAATCAGTGAAAACCAGAAAGAAAAAGAAAAAAACCCAATCCCTTTTTTGCTGGAAGTTTTCCTCCCTGAGCCTCAGGGCTTAATTAAAAGCTGCTAAAAACAATAAAGCCGGGTCGTTTCCATCCCCTAAACCCTCGGGATGTTGTCAGGACCCACCCGGATGGGAAATTCCCAGGTGGCCGCTCCGGGAACACGGCTGGAAGGAGCCGGTCGCCAGCTGTCACCTCCCGTTGGCGGAGGTCGGTGTCCCTGCTAATATCATTTCTCCCTTCAGATGCCTGCTGCAAAGCGGAGTCGGTGCCTCTGGCACAAGCATGGGGGTGGGAGCGGAAAGGCGAATGCTGCCTCCTTGCCCCATGGCCCAAACCCATGGGGACATCTGTGGGGGCATAGAGCTGCTGCAGGGGTGCAGCGGAGGGGCTGGGGCCTCTCCCCGTGGTGGAAAGCTGGGCCGGGTGGGAGGGTGGGTTGATCTCCAATGACGGAGGGTCCTGCCCCTTCTGGAAGCACCGGGAAGAGGATGGATCCTGCAGGGCCCGATCCTGGGGGGTGCCTCGGGTCCAGCTGGTTTCCTAGGCCCCTGCACAGCCCTCAGAGGCCAGAGCAAGGTGACCTGCCCCAGTCTGCTGCTCCTGACCCACCTATTCACCTCCAGTGCCCCGGCAATTTTGTGAGTGCCCAGATCTGCCCCCCACAAGGTGCCGGGACCAGGGAAATGCCAGCAGGGCAGTGGCGGCTCTGGTTTCCAGCGTGCATGGATGGTAAGCATTGCTTCCGGCGTGAGGGCAAAGAGGGGACTCCAATGAGATCAGCAATCAGCTAATGGGCAGGATGGATCCTGGGGTTTCAGGAGAGTCTATTAACCAGCAGCAGGACATTGGCGGCTGCACCCCCCTGCTTTCCTGGGGGCAGGGGCGATGCCTGGGGCTGTGTCAGGGGTCAGGCAGTCTGGGGCCCAATTCACACAGCGTAGAGCTGCACCCCGAGCCCGGAGGGAGTCCACACTCACAGCTCCCCCATCACGGGCATATGCATGGCACTCAGGACCTGAAGGTAGGCTCTGCCCATCTGTCAGCCAGCAGAAGGAGGTGTAGATGCACCCACATTGCCATGGCTGGACCTGGGGGGAGGTCAGGCCTGAGGTCTAGGGCCAAGGCCAGGGACCCCAGTCCAGAGCCAGGATGACTCTTGCCAGGGCCTGGAGTCCGTGGCCGTGGAGTCTGGATGCTGAAGATGTGGTCAGCACCGGCAAGGGGCCAGAGGCAGGAAGCCGTGGGTCAAGCCAGGGATGAGAGGGAGGAGCAGATGATCAGGGCAGGCAGGTCCATGCCAGCTGGGTGCCAGCTAGCTGTGCTGCCGATAGCAGCGTATCCACAGCCAAAAGGAGCTCAGTGGAGGCCAGCGGTCGGCAGACAGGGATGCCACCTACCACTGAGCCCCGGGAGGGTGCACCGGGAACAGCTCACGTCCACTAGCACCCCGGTGCTCACCTGGAGCAGGGAGACCCAGAGAGATATGGGTCTCTGACCTTGCACAGCAATTTTAAATACCATATTTTCCTGCAGGCAGCAGCCGCCTTGTTTCCAAAAAACCACTGCTGGAAATTCAAGTGTGTGTTATAAAGGAGAAATACAGTAAGAGCGTGAGCCACAGGGCCCAGGACAATGAGCAAGCCAGCTCCCGCGCTGCTGCTGCTCCGTGAAGTAGGGCAAGGAAAGATCTTTTGTTCTTCATTCAAAATCCCCCTGAGGGTCTTATTCTGGGATGTGCTGTATGCGAGAAAGTACGGTAGCGGGCATGTGAATGGTGCCAAAGTGGGCGTCCTTGCTGGGATCAGCATGAGACGAAGCAACAGGATCTAACCCGCTCCAGCTTTCCTTCCAAAAGGGAAAAACATTCCCCCCCGGCCCACATCAGGACTGGGGCCAAGCCCTGAGACTCTTGGCCCGATGGAGCCGGTTGGAGAAGCGTGCCGACAGCTGGAAGCAAGGCTCAGAGCCGCCTCTGCGTCGAATGCTAGCCAGCATCAGCTCCGAGCGGAGGAAGCTCAGCTTCTGTCCCCGTCGGGGCCCTGGGATGTTCTCGTCCGCCAAGACGGGTGTGTTTGCACGTCTGCTCTGGGAGCAGGTGGCCGTGATGAGCTCCAGATGAGCAGTGCGACGGCTGCGTTTGCACGTAAGCTGCAGATCCCAGCTGGAAAGTCCCCCCTCAGCACCACCGTGGACCCAGGCTCAGGGAGGCACCAGTCTCCCCAGTCAGCAACCCGCTGCCCCTACCAGTCCAGCCATTGGCAACTGCTGGAAGCTCACCAGCCAGGCCAGATCCTGGTTAGAGTCCTAGAGACGATGCCTGGAAGGGACCCCCCCACCACCCCGAGGTCACATCCAGTCTGACCCCTGCCCGAGGCAGGATCAGCCCCATCCAAACCCCATGCCTGACCTGGAAGCCACACAACATGGCTTTTACCGTACTTTATCACAAAACAGCCCTGACAACCCCAGGCATTGTCCCCCCATGCCCCAGGCATCGCCCCATGCCAGGGAAAGCAGGGGGGCCACAGCCGCCAAGGTCCTGCTGCTGCTGAGGGAGTTAATAGATGCTCAAGAGACCCCAGGTAAAGGCCGTGCCCCAGCTGCAAAGGAAACCACCACCCCACTACCCAGTCCGTACTGATCTGACTGGGGGGCAAATCCTGTCCTGATCCCCAGTGCGGTCAGCTCAGCCTGGAGCAGAGCTGCACAAGGCTCAGGAGCCTTGGATTCCCCGAGGGAGAGGGCTGGGCTAGGGGACTCATGCGGTCCCTTCCAGCCCGGCTTTCCTGTGCTCCTAGGATCCTGCAACAGGCTCCGGGCTGCAATAGCCATGCTGAGAAGACCTGTCCTCTCAGCGCCCCCGAGCTGCTCGTGCAGAACCCCATTGATGGCTGCGTGCATGGAGGAGGGATGGACAGGGCCCTATGGGCGATTGCCCATAGCCAGGTGATGCATTGAAATGTTGGGAGCGTGGAAGGGGACTGGGAAACCAGGGCCGTGCCTCCTGCCCTCCATCCCTTGGGCTGGGTTGGGGCTCTGCTGGAGAGTGTACAGCTCTAGGGCTTGTGGGCCGATCCCTTGATTCTGGCAAAAGCCAAGCCTGGCTTAACCCAGGACCATCTCCCCCCAGGCCAGGCTTTTCATCGCAAGAAACTCAGACCTTTGAATCGGCTGGGCTGGGCTGGGCTGGGCTGGGCTGGTGGTGCTGGCAGCGGCACAGAAGAGCTGCAAGCGTAGTAGCACTGCAAAGTGTGCCTGGATCTACCAATGCATTGCCCGTATCCTGGCTCTGAGCTGATGCCCACTGTGCATGTGTGAGTGTGCATGTGTATGTAAATATGCACTGCAAATGTGTGCACTGGATGCAAGGAGGCCCCCGTGCCAGCCCCGGGGATACATGTGGGTGCCCACGGGTGAAGGCAGGTGCATGTCTGGGACATCCGTGAGAGAGGTAGGGCTGGGCACCTGCAGAGATGCATGCAGCAGCAGGCTCCCCATGCTCCTGGACCTGGGGAGGGGGCTCGGCCCAGCCTGTTATCTCACTCCCAGCCCCAAGCTTATCTCCACAGCTGTTTTGCTTGAAACCCTGCTTCTCCATGAGTCAGAGACATCTCCATCCTCTAGTAAGCCTGTGACAGGCGCTGGAGGGGCTAGACACCAAGGTGGACTTCACTGCACAGGGTTCCCAGGCAGCAGGTACTGGTCTAGCCCATCTGGAAGACTGGTCCTGATTTCCTGAGGGCCAAAAACAGCCAATAACCGGGGTCTTTGTAGCTGCTGGCTGGACCGAAATCCTGAAGCTGTCTGAGATCCATGCTGCCTCCCAGATATTTTATTGCTGGAGCAATGAGTTAGTTTACAAGCTGCCAAATGGGTGAGGTTTGCCTGCCGGAAACGTAGCACCAGGTCCAGGGGTGATGCCGCCTGCAGTCTCTCTGAATGAACGGGCAGCGACAGAGAAAGGCCTGTGTCCCGTGGCTCCCCTGCATAGTAAATGCCAAGGTGACTGGTTGTAGATGTGTCTCCATCGTTGCAATCACAGGAGCGTTGGCACGATCAAGGCCTTTGCACGCACAAACTGCAGGAGAGCGCCTGGGCCTGCCTCCCCAGCTGCATTTTGTGCCTCCGAGATCTGGGCCTCAGTTTCCCCCGCTCAGCCTTGCAGATTGCATGGTAAGCAGCCGGGAGCCCTGGGTAAGGATTCAAATTCCAATCCCTTCCACCCCCTCCACCCCCCGAGCTGGGCCAGTCTCACCCGCCCCGTGAGGCAGTCACTGCGCCCATTGCACAGATAGGTAAAGCTGAGAGAGAGGAGGTGTCCTGAGGCCGGGGGTGCTTGCTCGGATACACGCACACACACGCACGCATTCAAGAGGGGTCCCAGAGGCCCGGTCTGTGGCCGAGAGGGGACGGGAAGGCCACGGGGCCCCTCACTTCTGCTCCTTCTGCTGCAGCCGCCGCGTGAGGTCGTCGATGCGAATGTCCTTCAAGTGAACCAGCTGCTCCAGCCGCCGCACCTTCATCTGCAGGATCTGGCCAGAGAGAGGGAGAGCCCACAAGCAACCTGATACAAGATCCCCTACCCGCTTCTAGCAGGCCTCCACCCGCTTCTCATTTGGGGCATGGGCCCTGCAGTTTATCCAACAATGTTGAGCCGCATTTTACATCCGGGGAAACAGGGTTAGGGTTAGGGTTGGGGGCACTGCCATGGCTGGGGCACGCGAGCCGCCCTCACCTGGACTGTTTCCTGGGCCACCAGCAGGGCCTGCTCCCTCTCTGCCAGCTGGAGGTGAGCTCTGGGGTCCCCTTGCAAGGCCTGGGCATAGCCTGGCTGGGCCTTGGCTGTCCTAGGGAGAGAGAGAGAAGCCAGAGCTGGGGCAAACTCCCCCGTGGGGCACCGGGGCTGGAGGCATTGGCCTGAACCTGGGAGCAGCTTCTGGGAGAAACAGAAGTCCCGTGGCCTGGGTGACCTCAGCTGCGGCCTTAGCACGCCCGTCTCCCGCCTGCTCGCGGGGTGTCGGCAGGTGCCCTGCAGCTGCATGGGTCCATGGCTTCCTGCTAATGCAGGAGCCGGGGCTTGGTGGCCAGGGGGACCTGCCCCCTGTGCACAAGGGCGAGCTCAGCCTGCATGGCGGTTGTCTGTGCCCATTGCACAGATCGGTAAACTGAGGCCCAGGGAGGGGAGGCAACAGAGCCATAAACAGCACAGAGTTCCCCCTGTTCCTGGCCCTCAGCTTGCACCCTCCTACCCTCTAGACCTCCTACAGTGGGTAAGCCTGTCCCAGGACCAAACCTGCAGCCTACTGACCTTTGCATCTGCTGGGAAACGGCTGCTCTGCGGCAGCCTGTGGAGGACAATCAACCCAGGGCTGCGGATGCAGAGTCACACCTGCTCCCAGCAGCCCAGAGGCCCCTTGGGCCAGGCCGGGATACCAGAGTTGGCTGAACTGGGGCAGGGAGCCGCCTGGCCTAAGTCACTGGCTTCGCCCAGCTGCAAGAAAGCCCCTCCTGGGGCAGGTCTCCCGGGCAGATCCCGTAGCACGTGTGGCGGGCTCTTACCTCTCCGCTCTCGAGGACTCTTGGTAGATCCCTGCTGCATTGGCCTTTGGCTTGGATAAATACCCTGTGTGATGCAGTAACATGTTACCCTGCGGCTCCAGGCCCCACAGCTGGACTTAAACCTGCCCCCCAGACACATGGAGCAGAAAGGAGGGGGCAGGAGCAACCAGAAAAGCCCAGAAACCTCCAAAAACCCCTCGGCAGAAACTCAGGAACTGAGTTTGGCCGGGCACAGCCAGCTGGCACTGGGTCAGCCCGACGGGGCATCTGGGAGGAACCGGGGCTTGGACCCAGCATCGCCCCATGCTCCCAGTTCTGCAGTGGGAGCTGTGGGCTGGAGGCTGGAGATGAGAAGCCTTGAATGCCTGGGGGGTGGGTTGTAAGAACCGGGGGGCCTGTGCTGGAGCCAGGTCCTGGCTGGTTTTAGTCCACAGATGTGAGGAGAAAATTCATGGGCTCCCAGCTCTGCCAGATGTTAGAGTCAGTGGGGAGACAGGCTATGCAGCTGGCCTTGGGGTCAGGCACCAAGCTGAGACTCTGGGACGCGGGTTCGGTTCTCACCTGCAGCACAGATTCCCTGTACGACCTTAAGAAACTCTCTTATCCTCTCTCTGTGCCTCAGTTTCCCTACCTGTATAGCGACATTCCCTGTCTGGCGTGTCTCTCTAGACCAGGGGTGCCCCGAACACAGGGCTGGGTAGGGCCCCAATCCCCAGTAGGATCTCCAGGAGCTGCTGCGATGGGAATACCATGCTTTCTTGCCTATAATATACCCCGCAATGTACTACACACCTTGTTTTTGAAAGGCAAAAACATTTCCCCAGCATTATGGCTGCACAGAGCAGGGATAAAACCTAATCTTCTATTGACTCACCCTCCCCTTCTTGCTTAACTAAAGCTGAATCCCTAGCTGCTGCTGAAGGCTGGTCTCCAGGATCTATGAGAGAGAGAGAGACCAGGAGCAGCTCACAGACAGCAAAACTACTGTAAGAAAAGTTACCCCAATTAGTGGAACGCCAAGACAATTAGAAAGGAGAGGTGCTTGTTAACACCTGCGAAGTGAAGAGCTGACTCCCTCAGCTGCCTGAACAGTAATATCATAGCTGCTGCACTGTGGAGCAGGAATCAAAGCAAGGTGCTGCCAAAGCTGGGCAGAAAATCAGCTTCCCCACTTAATTCTGGGGCCTGATTTTGCAGGAAAGGCTGCATATCATATGCAAGAAAATACGGTAATTATTCCAGGACCCCCCTCTGTGGCAGGTCAGTGGTGAAGGGACATGCCCATGGTCACAGGAGGAGTCTGTGGCAGAGACAGGCACTGATCCTGGACAGTGTGGGTTGCACGGAGAGCCATCGGCCCTACCTGTCTCCGGGGAGGAGTTCTCATCCAGGGCTGAGCGCCAGGCCAGGTCCTAGGAGAGAGCGGGGAGAACACAATGCGGGTGCTTTGCAAAGGCCCAGCACCGCCTGCCCCTGGCACAGGGCTCAGATGGGGAAAAGGCCCGTGGGTGCCCCTGGGTGACACCGCACGGTCCTACCGGGGCAGCCACCCCCAAATGCTGCTTGTAGCAGGGTTCGCGCAGGCAGCAAGGAGCCTGCTAGTGACAGCCAGGCCAGCATAGCCAGGGCAGTACAGTCATCATCTCGGTGGGCACCTGCCCTCCGCAGGGCACCCTGGTGCCCAGGGACGAGTCTGTCTGAGGGTGTCCCATACACGCACCAGCGTCTTCCGCAGTGCTCGACTTTTCCTGCTACACACAGGGTTACTCCCAACCCCTGACCCAGCTCCCACCTTGCTTTTCCTCTGCTTCTCCTCGATCCGCTGCCGCAGGGGAACCAGCACCAGCTCCACAGCTCCAGGCACGCACTGCACCACCTTCCGCACCACGTCCTCGGGGATGCTGAAGTTCAGCCTGGCCAGCACCTTCCTGCCAGAGACAAGACCATGGCGGTGAGGGGCTGAGGGCAGCCACGGTGCCGCTCGCCCTGGCCCCTGCCCACTCTGCAAATCCAGTCTAGCATCAGGTAAGGACTTCAGGGGAGAACATCACCCAAAAAGCCAGCTGGCCTAATGGGCACAAGCAACAAAGCAACATTGATTAAAAGCCACCAAGGACCTGCCTGCGCAGCACAGGCAACGATGGGTTATTATCATGGGTCTCTCAATCCTAGAATCACAGACAAGGAGGGTTGAAGGGACCTCAGGGGGTCACGTTGAGTCCAACCCTCTGCTCCAAGCAGGACCAGCCCCAACTACATCATCCCAGCCAAGGCTTTGTCCAGCTGGGGCTTAAACACCTCCCAGGATGGAGACTGCACCACCTCTCTGGGGAGCCTGGTCCAGTGCTTCACCACCCTCCTACTGAGAAAGTTTTTCCTAATATCCAACCTCAACTTGCCTTGCTGCAGCTTGAGCCCATTGCTCCTTGTCCTGCCATCTGCCCCCACTGAGAACAGCCCAGCTCCTTCCTCTTTGCAGCCCCCCTGCAGGGAGGTGAAGGCTGCTATTCAATCCCCCTCAGTCTGCTCTTCTGCAGATTAAATCAGCCCAGTTACCCTGGTCTCTCCTCACCAGTCCTGTCCCCCAGCCCCACAACCACTTTTGTTGCCAATTCTCCATAGTGTCCACATCCTTTCTGTAGTGGGGGGCCACAGCTGGACACAGGACTCCAGATGTGGCCTCCCCAGTGCAGAATAGGGGGGAAGAATCGCTGCCCTCCATCCACTGGCACCGCTCCTACCAATGCAGCCCAGGATGCCGGTAGCCTTCTTGGCACAAGGGCACACTGCTGGCTCCTGTTCAGCTTCTTGTCCCCTGTCCCCCCAGGTCCTTTTCTGCAGAGCCGCTGCCCAGCCCGTCACCCCCCGCCTGCACCGGTGCATGGGATTGTTCCCTCCTCAGTGCAGGACTTTGCACTTGTCCTTATTTAACCTCAGGATATTTCTTTTGAGCCAATTCTCCAATTTGTCGAGGTCTCTCTGACTCCTAGCCCTACCCTCCAGCATATCTACTGCTCCCCCCAGCTTGGTGTCATCTGCAGACTTGCTGAGGGTGCGCTGCATCCCATCTTCCTGGTCGTTGATGAAGACATTGAACAAAACCAGGCGCAGGACTAATCCCAAGATACCGGCTGCCAACTAGACATCTTTCTGATTTGTTTCCAGTGGGATTCATCCTACCCCAGGCAGCAGGGGCTGAGGCAGGGGTGGATGCAGCTCACTAAAAACCTTAGCTCTGGCCTGGTCCTATGAACTCTGGTGTAGAAATGACTGACAATGAAGTAGTGGAGACACTGTCAAGACACTCAAAAAAGCTATTTTTGATTTACGGATCTGAATGAGAGATGTACATTTAACTATAAGTATGACAGGGTGTGTAACATCACAACTTGGGACTAATTTTGGCGATTCTTTATCCTCATTTCTTTTGTTTCCTTTAAAACTGGATATATAATCTAGCAAATTCAGGAACACTCCAATATTTCCATTGGTTTTTGCTCAGATCTTAAACTGCATAATATCGTGCCAGCCCCCTAGGCTGTTAAGAAAGCTTCCAGCTGGTCTTTAATGAGAGACAATGCGTGTTTTGTTGAATGCAAGGATGCACTACACCACCTGCACCCCCCTTTTCAAAATCCTGGGTCCACCCCTGGGCTGAGATCAGATGTCAGAGAAGTGGCCTGGACTGGAAGGAAAGCAAGTTTCCCCAAATCATTCTGCTTTTCCTAAGCACCCCTGGCCCAGCCTCTCCCAGCCCCCAACCCCAGAGGGTCCCTGGGCAGGCCGGTACCTGTTGAGGTGAGCCCAGTTGGACAGCTTCTGCTGGGTCGAGTTGGCCGGGACGTAGTTGTGCATTTCCACCATTTTGGGAAAGTAAAATTTCACCACTTCCGCTGCCAGAACTGGGTGGGAAAGAGGAGGCGGCAGGTTGGGGCCTGGCGGATGCAGCAGCTGCAGGAGGTCAGGGTGAGATGCAAGCCCCGCTGATATCATGTACCGTGCCACACTGTGCCAGTCCAGACCCCGGCCTATCACTTATTGAATCCTAAAGCCAGGGGGCTGGCCAGGCCTGCAGCAAGTCCAGCCTGTGCTCAGAGCAGGACCAGCCTAGCAAGGGTTGGTCCAACCTGCTCCTAGAAGCATCAGGAACAAAACCTCGCACTCGGCTCCCAGGCACGGGGCACGACACATCCCAAATGTCCTTCACTGGTCCCAGGTGAAGCAGGAGGACAAGGGACCAGGGACCTGCGCTGCAAGCGTTGTGAACGCACAATCAGAGCCCTAGAGCCGCGGGGCTGGCAGAGGTCACATCCAGTCCAACCCCTGCCTGGGGCAGGATCGGCTCTGTCCAAACCAGCCCAGACACATCCGTCATCTAAACGTTCGGGAGAAGTACCGTCAACCCTGACACCACGAGGCATCACGCCCGTGGGAAAGCGGGAGGACCACGGCTGCCAACGTCCTGCTTCTATAAAAAGTTGCTGATAGATGCTCGAGAGACCCCCGCCCCAAGCAGAGGCCATGCCCCTGCTGCAGAGGAAGGCAAACCCCCCCAGTGTGCACCAGTCTGAGCAGGGGGGAAATCCCTTCCTGCCCCAGTGCAGCATTGGGTTGAGCCTGAGCGCAGGAGCAAGACCCTAAAGCCAGGACCCTGCGGGGTTGGTGCCAGGAGTCATCACAGGACTCCAGGAGCTGGAGCCAGCTGAAGCTGCTTCAAACCCCACAAGGCTGCCATGCCACGGGGTTTTGCAGGCTGATCCCAGGGCTGCCAGAAAGCCCAGGCCTTGCTACCACATCCCAAGGGGCTGGCCAGCAGCTGCTGTTTTGGTCTCATGTTCACAGACCCTCATGCACACACACACACACTCCCCAGGGCCCTGTCCCTCTCCAGCACCAGAGACACAACCCCACCGGGGGGTGCAGCAGGGGTTGCCAAAGCTCCCTGGGTCCCCATGCAGCTGTCAGGACCCCAAATGGGTCCAACCCCCCCTCAGAACTGGTCGCATTTCAGTCCGGGATGCTGGGTCAGAGATAGGGCCAAGCCCCGGAGTCCAGCCCTGATCCTGGACCCCCGCAGAGCTGCAGCATCGCGGGTGCGGTGCCCGTGTCCCCGACCTCCATCGCTGAAGTCCCGGGTGATGTTCTTCTTGGGCCGGGACAGAGGGATGGCGTCCACCCAGCTGTACAGGTCCTGCAGGCTCTCCTCGTCCAGCTCCCCGTTCGCCATCACCAGGGGGCCCGAACAGGACTCCAAACCCCAGCCGTGGGGAGGACCGTCACATTGGTCCCTAGCGCCGGCTATTCCAAGGGCTGGGAGCTGGTATATTGTTGTCATGGAACCATGGCAACGGTGGATAAAGCCCAGTGCATTCTGGGAGCTGTAGTCCTCAGCATCCCGAAAAACACCGCTTGCAAGGCAATGCTTCTTCAAAAGACCCTGCAAAACCCGGCTGTGCAGCATGGGAGCAGCAAGGAAACCCGCTAAAACCTATTGGTGAATGAACGCCGTCGGCCGCAGCACTGCGGAAGGCCACTGCATCCCGGCAGGGAGGTGGTGGGATCGGAGATCAGCCTCCGACCCACACTGATGTCTGCATCCCAGGGACTGCAAGGGGGCCCTGGTCCAGCAAGTGAGGTCTCCTGTACTTGCAGGTAACCACGGACGCAAGGATCCCCCTAAATCCGTGCTGAAAACCCTCCCATGAACCAGGAGAAGCAGAGAAGAGACACATGGGATGCGACTACACGTTCATTAATGCATCTTAGATACTGGCAGACAATTAGATACTTAGATACTGCACATTTAGTTTAGCACTCGCTTAATAAAGTCAAAACGAAATGTGCGGTACCTAGAGCTACAGCGCAGTCGTGCCGGCGCACAGTTATTTAGTGACGCTTACTGCGCATTAGCCTCATCGCGCTGCGCAGTCGGCTCTGAGCGCGGTTTGTGCCGGGACGCGCTACTGCAGCGTGATGACGAGGCTAATGCGCAGTAAGTGTCTCGTGTAGACGCGCCGGGGAGGATTAAAGCAGGGAGAAGTGAGAGAGACGAGAAGCAGAGGCCAGGCCTGGTCAGCGTAGAAAAGACGTTCAGGTCTAGATGCGAGGAGCATCTTCTCCCCTACGAGGACCCCGTTTGCTACTGCCGCGCGGGTGACCTTGTGCCCCATGTTGGTTGTCTTTCCCCCATCCCAGAACCAGCAGAAAGGCGCTCTCTTCTTTCAAGGGCATTGCAAGACAGTGTTTTCTTTGGATTCACACCTTCTTTGCAAGTGCTTGCAACCCAAAGACTTATTTATAGGCTGTTCTACCTCCAGGATGGTGCTGATCTCTGAACACATCAGACTTAATGCAATTAGCATCCCGACACAGCAGAGAGCTAGCAGCGCAGCAGCTCTGGGAGGTGGTGGAAAGGGCTCCTGGCTCTCAGGGCAGTGCCTGGACCTCGTGGTGATCTAAGGTTGAGAACCACTGAACTAAGGAGGTCGGCTGAGAAGTGCCCGGAGCCCCGAGGGCAGCCTGTGGCTCTTAGTGTTTCAAATACCGATCCTTGTATCTATGAAGCAGTGGTTCAGGTGGGAGACGGGACAGTCTGTTTTCACTGGGACAGTCCCAGAGTCCTGTCAGCTTGGAGAGAGTCCAGCAGACACCAGTGAAATGGTTGTGGGACTGGGGACATGACCAGTGAGGAGAGGCTGAGGGAAATGGGCTGATTTAGCCTGCAGAAGAGAAGACTGAGGGGGGATTGAATAGCAGCCTTCACCTCCCCGCAGGGGGGCTGCAAAGAGGATGGAGCTGGACTGGTCTCAGTGCTTTCGCTGCAGTGGCGCGGCCCCCTCTCCTCTCCCCACATACCCAGGAGCTCCCTTGGCTCCCCTTTGTGCCAGGTGGGCTACACGGGCTGGCACCGCAGGGGGAAATGTCTGTGCCTACCCTGGGGGCACACAGGCCTGGTCCTTCCCTGCCTCCACGGCTGCTGGACAAAGGTCTCACCGGGGTTAGGCTCCCCTCTTGAACAGAAGTCACGAGGCGCCTCTACATATGCTCATTAGCATTCTCATTAGCGCTCTAATTCCATCTCCATCAATGAGCTGTCATTAAAGCACCCCATGAGCATTTGGAAACGCGGCAGGGGCTTAATACACATGACAGTGAGCCTTTTAAATTGCAGCAGCTTTCTAGGATGTGCTCTAACAAAATGCTCCCTGCACCACCGAGCACGTATACAGGCAGCCGAGACTACAGGACCCAAATCTGACGGTGGTAACAGCCCCCCGACCTCACCCTGGCAGAGAATTTAAACTCTTGTAACAGGACGGAGGCAGCGACTCGCACCCCACACGCCAACGATGGAAATGGGACTATCGCTTAGGTGCAATTCACTGTCTAGGCCCATGGGGAGCTGCAAGGAAGGGGAGAGAAGACCCCTCGTCATGCCTGACCCTGCCTGGTAGCACCCCTGGCAAAGCAGAGGATCAGCCTCACGCCTCCCCGCACGGCAATGAACATGCAACCTTGTTCTTTTATGAGCTTGTTTTTCAATTGAGAAAGAAGTAGCACCTGAGCAGCCTCCACCTACGTCCCATTCAGGAGGTGCTACGTCACAGGACAAGCTCTCTTTACAGTACTGCAAGGTTATTTTAACATGGTCCATAAAATTGTAGCATTTGTTTTTTACTCTGTAAACAAAATATTACACAAGTGTTGCTATGAACCGTAAAAGCTTATATAAACACAGTGCTACAAAATGCCTCATTGTTCCCAGAAAGTGTATATGGAAAAAATATATGCCACTTCGTTTTTTTGTATTTGTTTCAAATCAGTAGAAGCAGCACCAACGTCAGTACGTTCAGTTTGACCCCCAGGAAGAGGAGTACACGGTGGCCAGAAGAATCCCATCTCATTTATAAAGTTAAGACTAGCTTAAAAAGAAAAACTGGGGAGAAAAAACAGTGGATAGTTCCTTGGGTAGTGAGACAGAGAGAGGGACTGTCAGTGTGCGTAGAAATTGTAGTGGAAGCGACCCTTCAGGGGTCATAAAGTTAGTCACAGAGAAGTGGGGCTGGAAGGGACCCCCCAGAGCTACAATCTAGCCCAAGCCCTGCCTGAAGCAGGTTTAGCCCTGTGCAAACCAGCGTGTACAAACGGAGCAACGCGGCAGAGCACCAGACGTCATCCCTGGCCCTGGGGAAACGGGGCTGCCGCAACCAATGCCCTGCTCCTGCTGTGAATGGCTATTAGTAGGCACTTCAGAGACCCCAGACCAAGGCCGTGACCCTGCTGGAGGGGGGAATTTCCTTCCTGACCCCAAATCTGGTGTCTGTCTGAGAGAGACTTAAAAGCCCCTCGAGACGTGTCTCATGCGTGTCTGCGTTGCTCATCGTTAGGCTGAAATCAGGCAGAGATTCACCTTCCAGACCCGCTGCATGTGATCAGCAGATCTCAGGGCCAAACACCGCCTCCTTAGCGATACTGAACAATCGTGTGCGTGCAACGGGGGAATAGCTTAATGTCAGTTTACTGCACCCAGGGGGAAGGCTGGAGGCAGATGCTTTCCTAGCTCTGGGAGGGGAGGTTTCCAAAATAAGCTTATTCCTACACTTAAGTAAACCTAGACCTTCACAGAAATGGAATATATCAGACAGATCTGACACATGGTGCCCTGGGGGGGAGCACGGCCGTTGCCGAGGATGTTGTGCGCTTTCCCCCCTCTCGGCTTCCTGAGCAAGACCGTTATCTTTGACATGGCCTGTAGCTTGATGTAGGGTGTAGCACCATTAGACCTGTTACCAGCCAGCACTTCCCAGCTTGTAGGGTTCATGCCGCCCTTCTTAAGGTATGGTTTCAGGGTGTCCGAAGCTTTGCACAGCCCTAATAAACAGCTCCTGGTGTTGCACTCTACACTTCTGGATCTGTTGTGCAACAAAGATCATGGCAGCGGTACCCTGAGATAGTCCAAAGCTGCACTGGGATTCTGGAAAGACATATTCAGAAAGGGGGAGCCAGCGATTTAGTAGTAGGATAATAATAAAAAACTTCCCGGAAATGGAGGGCAGTGCCTTGGTAGTTCCCACTGACTTGTCCTTGTAGATGGTCACAATGTTGGCATTCTTTAAGTCAAATGGAGCTTCCTCATTAACCTATATTTTGATAAGAAGTTGGTGAAATTTTTGAGGTATGAGGTGATACTGTACATATCAATCACAGCTAAATTGGCTTTGCCCAGATGCAATAGCAGTGTCTGGGGATACTGCATCCGCTCTCCTCAAGCTCCCCATACTCTAGGCAGAAGCAGAGCATAGACGGGAGGAGATGCTGTTAGAAACTCTCTGGACCTGAGCTCCCAGCCAGCACCATGTAGCAGCAGTTGCGCCTGCCCTTGTCCCAGTGCCCTCCCGGAGCTGCGCTGAGAGTCCAGTGGAGGCACAGAGCAGGGCAGAGGCAGGGCCCATGGGGGGCTCATGCCACCGCACAGACTGGGGGGCACTGGGGTCTGCAGTGGGTGCAGGGTAGGGGGCGGTGCCATTCACTCCAAAACCAAAAGTAGACGAGGGCAAGCCTGTGTCCCTCTCCCTGCCCGAGCCGGGCAGGACACTCACCCAGCCTTGTACACAAGCCAGGGGGTGAGGAGTCACCCGCTTTATGGCTGCAGACACAAAATGCCATTGCCACCCCAGAGCCAGCCACACTGGGGGGGCCTGGTATACCCAGCCCTGCTGCCCACCCCAGCGAGAAGCTCTGTTCTACCCAGCCTAGTGCCCACCCCAGAGCCAGCCGCACCCCAGCTTCTCTCTTGGATACTTACTGGTGTCACATCAGAGCTGGGCAGCTGCCTATATGCAGCAGGTTATCATGTAGAAAAGTAGCAGCAACAGAACGAGAACACACGGACAAGACACCGAGCCCGCGGAAGACCTGAGATCTGCAGGAGACAGGGGGGGATGTTCAGACAGATGTGAACCCCCCACACCTGCCCCAGCATTTGCCAGACGGATTGTGTGGCAAGGCCCATCCCAGGCAGTAGGAGAACAGCGGGAGCAGTTACATTAGGGGGATGATCTGCAGCCGGCTCGGGGTAGGCATCAGGGGTTGGTTATAACCAGGCTGGGATGGTGACTGACGTTGGGGTGGGCGTCCAGGCTCCCAGATGCAGGTGGCTCTGGGGTGGTGCTGGTTATAACAGGGTCACCCCCTCGAACCGAGGTGTCTGGGCTCCCAGTTCCCCCCTGCTCTCACCCACCAGTCCCCCTTCCCCTCCCAGAGCCAGGACAGAAGCCAGGTATCCTGGCTCCCAGCTCCCCCTGCCCCCATTGCTTACCGATAGTGGGGACAACCACAAAGCTTCCATTGCATACCACTGAGCTCTCTGCACATGGGACCATCAGTATCAGGAACAACACCCACCATGCTACGCGGCAACCTCG